GTAAAAAGTGTCACTTGAGCTATGTAAGAGAACAAGAAAACGTGGGCAGTACGGCACTTCAGGTGGACAAACTTTTGCAAAGGTGAGGAGGTGGAAAAAGTAGACTGTAGTAGGACAAAGAGTCATGTGCTGAAGCTTAAGATATACAAAGGGGAGGAGTGAAGGAAAAGTTACTTAATTCAGTAGGAGATGAGAATAAGGTGTTTCAATCTCCAGGCTTAGTAGTTTGAACGTCCTTCATTTGGTATTGAATTGCTGTTCGTGCAGTCTTTTATCGAAGGTAGTGCCACAAACAGACAGGTGCTTCAGTCAGATTAACCTGAGGGTGGAGGGTAAAATGGAGAGTGTGCAACATTAGGGAAAGCAGTTCCCAAGAGAAAATGGAGGAAACCAGCATGTGCCAGGCACTGATAGCATTTCATTTAATCCGAGCAACATATGCTATTTTATTTAATCCTGACAATAATTCAGTTGTGATATGTATTTTTATAAATAAGGAGGCAGGCAACTCAACAATAGTTGGCAGTCTAAGAACAAAAAACTGGTCAATGGAAAATTACTCAAACTTAGGGACTAGAGAGGCAAACCTGCTGGAAGGTCAAAAGGGCAAGAAAGGTCGAGGGTCTCTGTAAGTACAAATGTAATAGAAATGACTGATGCAGAATCCAAGTGAGATATGAAAAAGAAGCAACCTAAAAGTGGACATAATGAGGATTAATAATGAGGACGAAGAACAAATTCAACTGGGATAGAGAGTGTGTAGATAAGCTAGACTTTAAAAGACTGTGCACCAAAGGACAGTCATTGTAAGATGTCACTTAATGATACAGGCAAATGTATAGAGACCAGACTTTATTAGTGGCTATCAAGGATGAAAGAGTCCCTGGGTGCTGCAAATCATTAACTTGCTTATCTGCTAACTGAAAATTTGATGTTCGTGTCCACCAAGAGGCACCACAGAAGAAAGGCCTGGCAATGGATCTACTTCTGAAAATTGGCCACTGAGAACTCTACAGAGCACAGTTTTACTCTGACACACATGGGGTCATCATGAGTCAGAATCGACTTGAAGGCAACTGCTTAAGTTAGGTTACTGTCATGGATTGAATTGTGTCCTCCAAAAATACGTGTCAACTTGGTTAGGCTATGATTCCCAGAATTGTGTGGTTGTCCTCCATTTTGTGATTGTAATTTTATGTTAAAGAGGATTAGGGTGGGATTGTAACACCCTTACTAAGGTCACAACTGCGATCCAATGTAAAGGGAATTTCCCTGGGGTGTGGCCTGCACCACCTTTTATCTCTCAAGAGATAAAAAGGAAAGGGAAGCAAGCAGAGAGGGGGGACCTCATACTACCGTGAAAGGAGTGCCAGGAGCTGAGCACGTCCTTCGGATCTGAGGTCCCTGGGCAGAGAAGCTCCTAGTCTAGGAGAAGACTGATGAGAAGGCCGACAGAGAGAGAAAGCCTTCCCCGGGAGCTGACACCCTGAATTTAGACTTTTAGCCTACTTCACTGTGAAGAAATAAATTTATCTTTGTTAAAGCCACCCACTGGTGGTATTTCTGTTACAACAGCACTAGATGACTAAGACAGTTATGTTTACCAGGGGTGGAAGGGAGGGGAGAAAGGAAAAATCTTTGCTTAGGAGTCACCGAGTTTCTGTTAAAGATGGTAGGTAGAACAATTTAGAAACAGGTAGTGGTGACGGTTGCATAACGTGATAAATGTATCTACGGTGCATTGGATTGCTTTTATATGGCTTTTCTCACCATGGTCTTGTAACTCCCACCAAATGATTGGGTGGGACTATGCAAATAAGGTGCTTGTGGCCCACCAAGGGGACTAGACAGCTTGCTAATAATGCAAATAAGATACATAGCACCTTTGTGGGGGTAGGATCATGCAAATGAGGTACATGGAACCCTAGCGAAGGGACTGTTCAGTTTTGCCATCCTGCTAGGCTTAAAGGGAGACATGCAAAGAGAGAGGGAGGACCTCACGACCACCAAGAAGGAAGAGTTAAGAGTGTACTGCGTCCTTTGGACCCTGGACCCCTGCGCTGAGAACTTCCTAGACCCAGGAGACAGAGAGAGCTGTAACACAGAAGACAGCGAGAGATGGTGGCACAGCAGTAGCAAGAGCGATAGTGGAACGAGATGGCAGGAACCAGGAGACTGGTGGGAGATGGCTACAGTGGGGCTTGCTGACCCACAGAGCTAGGAGCTTTGTAACACTTGCCTGAGCAGAGCAGAGGCGAGGCCTAGAGGCCGAAGGCCAGAGAGAGGCCTGCCTGCGAGTATGGCTGAAAAGAAGCTACCCTGATTGAAGAATTGTATCCTGAATTGTTTCTGATCCCAAGTTGTACCCTGTTACTTCCCTAATAAACCCCATAATCGTTGAGTATTGTCTGTGAGTTCTGCGTGGCCACTGCCAACGACTTACTGAACCCAGCAGAGAAGTAGAGAGTGCTATGGGAGGGCCAGCTGGTCTCAGAATTGGTAAAAACGGTTGGAGAGAGGAGGTAAGCATGACCTCCATTTCATAGGAATCAACTTTGGGCTGATGTTGATGCTGATTCTCTCTCCCCCTCTTGAAGTCAGAGGAGGTCAGACATCCCCGCCACATCATTTTTAGAATATTCAATGCCACTAAATTGTACACATAAAATACGTTGAATTGGCAAATGTTTTGTTATATACGTTACTACAATAAACCAATTTTAAAATGGTAAAGCAATGTTAAAATTGCAAATCGTAAATAAAAAAGTAAAGTTTATAAGGTTTAAGAAAACCAAAGCAAAACATTGTGTACAAAGTGGGAACCCTAAGATTTAAGTACGGGGAAATTTTAAAGTGATGAGATCCCACCATATTGGTGGACAGGGGTACTAATACATGTGACCAGAGTTAAGAAAATTAGTGAGGAACTAGAAAAATGTTGATTTTTTTCCCCCTTACTTTGAAATTGCCCAACCCATTATTATTTTAGAGCCAGAGTAATGGTTTTATTTCCAGAATTGATGATGATTACACATAAAAAGAAACAATCTTTGTTGGTTACGAGGGATGGGAGGGGTGTGTGTGGAGGAATACAAAATAGACGATAAGTAGTAACTTTGGTGAAGGGTAACACAGTACACAATACTGGGGAAGCCAGCACAACTTGACCAAGGCAAGGTCATGGAAGCTCCATAGACACATCCAACTCTCTGAGGGACTGAATTGCTGGGCAGAGGGCTGTGGGGACCATGGTCTTGGGGAACATCTAGCTCAACTGGCATAACACAGTTTATAAAGAAAATGT